GAAATTAAACAAGACAAAATCTGGGTGAAAAAATAGGTAGCATGGTTTGTTGGCAATCTCTTCAAACAGGCTCTCAAATGCCATTTTCAACCCTCTAAAAGTACTAAATTTCAATTTCTTCGGGCTCTGTCCCTGGGCCCTGCTGGGGGCCGCAAAGGCCTCCATACCCCCAGCAGAATTTTCCTTACTTTTCAGCTTCAGCTAGTGGAAGCACTGAGTTACGCTCTTCACTAAGCAATGTAGACGGCATAAGTTCTGTATCGTACCAACTTACATCATCTACATTGCTTAGTGAAGAGCGTAACCACCACACGGCTTATATCACGGGTTGGTATTGGTGAGGCAGGGTCTCCGAAATGATTTAAATATGTCAATGAGAACATCAAGTGAAACATACAGATTGTTTTTATCCTCTCCCTTGCATTCACAATCCATCACACTAATAACCTCAATGCTTCTCTCTGAGCTGTTGAGGTAGAGAGTGGTGGAACATAACCCTCTGCCCACTAGAATAAGCGTGAATACCCTACCCTCTGGGTATTTATGTAGAAGTGCTGGGCACATTCTCTTTTGTGATACAGCTTATAAATCTATATGGTGGGTGTCGCTTTCAACTAGGTTGCTGGGACCGGCTCATTGAATCCGTTGAACGTGACTTAAGCTAAAGAAAAAAAAGGAGACAAGTTATTATATTATATTACACGATGTACCAACACCAGTAATTAAATCAGTTTTTCCCCACTAATGACGAAATTCTCTAACAGCATCAATGTGAGCATGTTTGAGTTGTGTTCTGACCGTCATTTCTGCATTTTTCATTATATTTTTCCGGAACACTTCTCATGTGGAAACATACCCTCTCACATTTAGGCCTAGATCTACATAAAGTAAAGGCGGGAGCTTTGATTTACTGACAGGGGAAGAAAAGAAAATGAAGGTCTGGATCAAGACCTGCCCATCCCAAGTTCATCCAGTTTCACACAGCCCGCATCGCTTTCCCACCCACCCCCTCTCATTTCTGCTGCAGGCTAACCCTCGCCCATCCTCTTGGCTTTGGGGCCCATATTAGGAGGTAGACTAGATCAAGCAATACAATGTGTTAGGAATCCAGAATGGGCCTTGAGCTTCGCGTGAGATGGAGAGAAAGGAATATTCTTTCCTTTTTGGGCGGCTGATTGCTTTTGTTTTTGTATCGTGACCTCGTTGAAAACGACTTCGGTCTGTTTGCAAACTTGTTGGAGCTGGCATACATTTACAAAGAGATATAGAGGGAAATTAAGGATTGCCTCGTTGGAACCGACTTCTCGTTGAATGTGACTTCGTTGAATGCGACACCCACTGTATCATTGTCATTTTCCACACACATTTTAAAAAGTTTGGTTTTTCTATGTTATAAAGGTATAGTGTTTGTTTTTGTTTGTATTAGCAAGGCAAGTCTTGACTTCGTTGTTATAGTGTTTCTCTGATCTATCTACCTTGTCTCTCCTCCTTTTTTTTTGGTGTTGTTACTCTTGTAACATTTGTACTCTAATGCACTTATACACTAGTGTTGCAAATGCTATAAGACTAATCATATTTGTACCCTTTTTTTTTAAATTTCAGTAACAACTGGGGATTGTAGGAATTTGTATTTTCCTGTGTGCTGAGCAAGATGTTGTTCCAAGGCCATCTACCATCTTTATCATGACCTTCTTTTGGCACTTCATCGCAGAAGGGACATAACCCTTTCTTTTGGTGTGTTTTGGATCTATTTACAGCTTTGCATTTATGTCCCGGGAGCCAAAGATAATGTAACGCTGAAAAATAAATAACCCCTTTTTTGTGGACTTTTATAAGTTGCCTTTTTTTCCCCCTCCTTACGGGGAACTGCTTACCTCCAGGCCCTTTTTCTGCTGACGCATCATTTAGTTTCTAGTCCAAATTCCACTGACATCTGTTATGTGAAAAGTTTGTTACATCTTTTACCTGTACTTACACCGTGGGGGTGTAGCGATGGACTTGGGGTACTGGCGCCGAGAGAAGTTATACGTGGTACATTTGTGGTACCTATAATTTCATTGGGTGGCAGTGGGCTTTGTCATTGAATGTACCTAAATAAACAATAAATTATGACTCAAACTATTTTCTGTTTCATTTTTGTTTTATTGTGTATGTGTAATAATTCATGTAGTTGTTGTCTCGTGTCTCTCTCTTTTTGTATGTGGAAGGAGAGGGATGTTACTCCCTGTAGAATCTACTTTCTTTAGGGCATTTATTGAATCGTGGTGTGCTTTCCTACCATACATCTATCGTCGTTTTATAAACTCTCCTCTTTTTTTGTGTTTGTTGCTCCCTTTTAGCAGATGGTTTGAGGGCACCACTGGTAGGTCCTACTTTTTCACTTTCCCTCTGTTGTTTCTATCTGTGCCTTTTTTCCAGCACTAGATAAGTATTATTGTTTCGATGTGCTTCTTTTGACGCAAGCTTCGGCACATATCTAAGTATTCTAAGGCTAAGTTCAGGCTAAACCCAGCTAGTTACCGTCAGCCAGCTGCCATCGACAACTTCCAGCCATGCGGTGTTTACTGTAGAGCCGGCAGTTACTGTCCGACAAATAGATTCCACACTTGGAGGGGAAAATACATGGCGCTTTCCAGGAGGAAGAAACTAATTATAATGCATATATATATGCTGTGGTGGATTTTACAAAAACGATTATAATTGAAACGGAATTCATGAAAATATGGTGTTCACCCTATTCATTGCAATCGTAGCGTGCATGGGCTACACCATCTTTTGATTCCGCAAGTGATGGACGATACCCAGAAATGATAGATCTGTCTCAGTTGTGATAGTTTTTGTTCTCTTTGTTATATCACCGATCTCCTTTAGACAGGTAAGATACAACTAGAAACAAAATTTGCCCTGGCTTCAACCATTGACTAAACTAAACAGGATTTTCCTGCGTATCATCACATTCACACTGAGAACCAGATTGCTTCCGGTGGAACCACCATCTACAACACACTCCCAGAGAAATACATCTTAAGATTTAGGATGACCCTCCAGCCTATTGCCTTACGGGTCACCCTGCACAGATCAATCTCACGATCTGCTTAGTTTATATCCCACCAAATTACCCCCTCTAAATAACAAAGCTCCAGCTCCCAAAACCCTTTATTTTGCCAGGTAACTTTTAAGCCCACCGCCCCCTTTGGGGAGACAAATCTACCGACCAGAATAAGAAAATAATACATTTTTTATTCCAAAGTAACATCTGCCTCTGAAATGATAGGTCCCCAACTTACAGAAACCTCCACTTATGGCACTTCATCACTTGACCTCACCTTTTGTACTCCTGACCTTGTCCCAGATCTTGAGTGGTCTGCTGGGTGACCGTACGGACCATTTCCCAATTCTTCTGATAAAAAATAGCCTCCAAAACGACCCGATCCTGGAACTGGAACTCTTCAACTTCCAAAAAGCACAGTGGGACGAGTTCACCATTGCATGTTCCCAGATTCTAAATCCCACTTTTGACCTCAACTACAAAAAATTCCTCGAAATGCTTCTTCTAGAAATGTGCACAAACACATTCCAAAAACATCTCCAAAACACCGGAAGAACAAGATCTGGTTCTCTTGGGAGTGTGATAGCAGCATATCGGAAATCCATCGACAACGCAACCACAGGAAACAAAATTAATTACTTAATTTCTGTTGGGATCAACGACGAACACTCTCCCACCGACTGACTTTAACTTTAAGAATAAAGAAGTTAACAATAAACTTTACAATCCTAAGCCCAAACTGGGACCGTGGAATCCTTCGGGCCCCTCCAGAAGGGACGAAGTCATTTTTACTCGATAACGCATTGCCCTAACACATAAATACCTCCTTCAGGGAGATGAGAAGCTGGTCTGTGCCGCATTTTACCATTAGACTGCAGTGGAACTCGGATTCAACGAGAGGAGATAGATTTCCCGGGTTTTTTTCCTTCTTTAAAATCAATAGTCATTTTTACTCAATAACGCATTGCCCTAACACATAAATACCTCCTTCGGGGAGATGAGAAGCTGGTCTGTGTCGCATTTTAATTTTACCATTAGACTGCAGTGGAACTCGGATTCAACGAGAGGAGATAGATTTCCCGTGGGTTTTTTTCCTTCTTTAAAATCAAAATAAAAATAACCCGGATTCAACGAGCACTTAAATCAGCTAGCTCGGATTCAACGAGGTCGCTTCCAGGGTGAACAGTCCCCACGGACGTGGCTTCCCTCATTTTTCTCCCAGAACGAACCTTATCTATTCCCGGCGGAAACCTTCCATTGCACCTGCGTCTAGTGTACTATTATTCATTTTTTAGCCGATTGCATGCGACCAATCAGCGGCCTTTTTTCATACCAACACATGAGTTGTTGGCACGCGCACGTGTCTACTCTAGCGTGTGTCGGGGTCGGATAGGCGGCCTGCACACGTGTGACTGTATGCGTGTCGGGGAGGGGGGGGGGGGGGCACCTGCGGTCTGAGCGTTGAACTTGAACGTCGCAGATACAAACGCGTCACAGCCTTTTTTTCCCTCAGCAATTGATCATTATTACAATGATAAGCTAGTCTGGACGTAGATCTGCATAATGAATTGTGCGCTAGTCTATGGAATCAAAAGTTGTCTTATGCTAGGCTCTGCACAGCAACACAACTTTTTCATTTGGCAAACAATCGAGATGACACAGGCGTGCATTTGAACGAATCAGTCTTTTTTTTCACACAGATTATAATATGGGGGCATTTCAGGCTCTACTTATTACATGTACATGTACTTCTCTTTACACATTACTTTGCTCAGGGCCTGTAATTTGTAATTATCTACACAAAACCTCATGTTTGCTACTATATATAACGAACACTCGGATTCAACGAGATTTTAGGTCAGGCCCGGAGACCTCGTTGAATCCGAGTTCCACTGTATTTATTAGACACATTTTAACCGAATGTCTAGACTTCAGAGAAACCCAAAGGAAATATCGTCGGCCTGGTGATAAAACCGTCTAACCCACAAAATATCAAAAAACTTTTTATTGGCCCTATCGATAGTAAATTGTCCATTTCATATGCTCACTCAAAGACAGATCTGAATTTTGTCTAGAAATGTCTTTAAAACTTTAGAAATAAAACCGTATAACCCGGCACCCATCGGATTTTAGCCCGATAATTCCGACTATCCCACCTGCGAGGGACGGAATGAGGGTTGGCTGTTTTTATCGCGCTAACAATGAGGGGCCACTTGCTACGTTACCGACTAACCCCGGCTTCGACTCCTCTCTGGACTTAGTTTGACATCAGATTCAGACCTGTAATAGTCCAGAATTTGCTCACATAACCGTGGGAGCTCTCCAAAAAGGAATATTTGTGTAATATTTCTTGTTGATTTCACTGGCGAGTTATATAGATCTGGTTGTTTCCTCTTTTTTCTACGTTTTAATGCTGCTGATAACGTTATTAATGACTAAAACTCCCCACTGTTCCCACAGAACTGTTTATCTCGTGACAATTCCGGTATTTGAAATGCATCTTTATTGATTTTGTTTTGTATGAAACTTTGTTTTCTGTCCGCGTGTTTTTCTTTGTCTTTGAACTCGAAATTCACCGATTGTGAAGGCATTTTCCCCTATTCGGACTACTGTCTCTTCTCCTAATCATTTTTCCTTCACAATTGAATGGACGAAGTAGATAGCATTTCCTCCTTTACTAACTCACTCCAAAAAAAATAATTGTGGGACCTGTCCAGCACACCGTCGGCCCCCAACGATCGTTGTTTTTAAAAGTGCTTTTTCTTTTTTTTTTTTCATTTGCTGTGTTTATTGCAGTCATTACCTTCTGAAACATCGTTCGACTTTCTTTGAAAGTTCATTTCGTTTGTGTTTTGAGTAGATTATTTTCTCAGTGTCATAACCTAAAGCTTTATCTTTATATCAAACCTTAGCTTACATAACGCTATAACATTCAATAAGATGATGCCACTCTTGCTGCGTCACCTCTTACCCTCAGCGCAGTGGAAAGTGATCAACATGACCAGTCTAATGTCACATCAGTTGATAGTACAATAGTTATGTTACCTTTGATCTCTGCGAAAAGGACACGGCATGAAAAAGATTGGAAGGGTAACAAAAGGAAGAGGTTGAAAGAACTGGGGATGCCTCTACCCATGTCAAGGCACGAAGGGAGCAGGATGTGAACTTGACGTCCTTGGCAGTTGTAAACTGGTTGGTACAAAATGCAATGATATCACTGGTCACTCTCTTGGAAAGAAAAGAGAGCCTACGTATATGACACGATAAACATGATAGACAAAAAGAAATCTTACACAGCAAGCGAAAACCCAAGGAGAAATTACAGCCACTAACAAGAGTCAATGGTTAAAGAACACCTGTTTGTAAAACAATCTTCAAGAACACCACAGGCCTGACCCACTGGTTTATTTAAAGTGTCTTCTCCGAAAAAAAACAACAACCAAGAGGTCCACCCACCTAGAACACATCGCGCCCACCATGAGAGAGCCAAGGATGACAAGTTGTTCCATAAAGAGGAATTTTTTTTACAAACTTTCGAAGATATCCTCCTGTCTACATATGACAATCCAGAAAACGTCAGATCTGCATCAAGTATACATGGAGAACTTTGCAGAGAGGGTGAAAGCCACATTGAGCTATCACGTGTTCTGCCAAAAGTTCAAGAAAAACAATTTGGGTTTACTTTCAACCAAGAAAGACCAATGCGACATTTGTACAAAGTTCAAATCTGGAAACCTCACAGAAACAGAACGCACAGCTCAAATATGAATATGAGGAAAGCTGCCGCTAGACCAGAGAAGGAGAAGGACAGGGAGGCTATGTGTGTCCTTTGTATGGAGATCCAGTGCGTCCTTCTGGCCTCATCACTAAAGACTCCCACCTTATATAAACAAAACTGGCTGTACACAATGTTACGACTTAGGATCTTGCCACCAGAGATGCCAGATGATATGTCTGGTATGAAAGTGAAGTTGGTCTGGGCTTCAACAGTTTTCATTATGTCTGACTCACTACCTGAGATTGCAAGTGCCTGACTTCAACCACTTCATCATCTGCAGTGATTGGCGCAACTACTAAAACAGAAAGCCACCCTGGTGAGTGCAATGGCCTCGCTGGCCAAAGAGCTTGACATCACAGTTGAGCAGAAATTCTTCCCAAGGGCCATACCCAAATGGAAGTGGATTCAGTCCATGGCACTATTGAGCGATCGCTAAAAAACGCACTGATGTACATCCCAATGGACTACGTGAACATCATGCTCAAAGCCAGACGCATCCCCAGGCCCTATGAAGTTATGTACCTGGACCACAGCTTTTTCAAAGATTTCGCAAAGGTCGGAGAGCACTAAACAATCCGTCCAGGGAGAAAAGCAGGCGATCCTACTGTCACTGGCTTGCAGGCATCAAAGTACACTCCAGTCTTTAAAATTCAGTACAAGCTGAACTTTGATGATGGATGGCAGGCGCTGCAAGGACCAAGAAAGTTGAACACCATGTGTACGACGGTTACTGCTGGACCTCTCTGCAAAGACAGATTGAAGATAACTGCCAACCAGTATAAACATCTACTTGAGTTGAAGCCGTCGTACCACGATGCTACCACAATTACCATGAAACTTTGCCTCTGTAAGAAGTTTTGAAAGCGATTAAGCCAAATTCGATTATAGTAGAGTCTTTCAAAACAATGGTAACTTTTGTCGTATTGCCTTGTTGTAGCCATAGGACACAGAGTGAGACAGACATGCTCTTCTGTCGTCGAGAAAACTCAACAAAGTAGTAGTTGTCAAGCCACACACTTGGAGAAAGCTGGCGCATTCTTTGGTACTCACAAAGTCTTTTTGTATAATAATGATATATCATTATGTAACCAACTTCTCCCAAACCATTGCCGAGGTAGCAGAGCTTTTGTGTGGCTTTCTGCTTTCATTTCTTTCTTAGTATTACTTTTTTCCAGGCCTTTGAATGGCCACCCAGTGCCAATAGTACTGTGTCGGACACGGTTATAAATTCTAAAGGCATACTGCTTCTGCTACTACTGTTGTTTTTGTAGTTGTTGCTGTAGCTGTTCTCCCTTACCCTTCCAACCTCCTGTTCTTCTACTTTAAATGTAATTAATATACCCATTGCTGTGTTCTGCTTCTTCTACTTCTATTAAAGGTTAAACTTTGTGACTGCTGTTTTTGCCCGAATTGACTCCGTAGCACTGAAATGGCAGCAGCTGATGTTGGTAGCAATAATATAGTCCTCCTCCTCTTCCTTCTTCTTCTTCTTACTCCTCCTCCTCCTTCTTTTTCCTCCTCCTCCTCTCCTCCTCCTCCTCCTTCTTCTTCTTCTTCTTCTTCTTCTTCTTCTTCTTCTTCTTCTTCTTCTTCTACAAAAGATCTTGACGATTGAAGCAAGTGATCAAATACGTTACCGTCAAGTGTGGCTTGGCTGCACTCAACCAAACTCAAGGCCAGCAGTGGCTTCCTGATAAAACCGGTCAACCCACAAAATTGAGGGTTGGTCGGTTTTATCCAGGAAAATTTGAGCGACATAACCGTCTAACCCACACAGTTTCATTAAAAGCAATTTTTAAAGGAAAAAAAGTTCTACAGGTTTTCGGTAAAGTGTTTTTATAGGTGTTTAAAGCATTGATTTATCGTTAGACGCCTTTGTTTTGAAATAAAACAGTTTTTTCCTTCTCCTGTAAAATTTACCTCGCTGGGGTTAGCCGGTTTTTATCACAAGGCCGACGATATTTTAAACGCAAAAAATTGGAAGACATTTTGTTCCGTCGTTGATCCCAACAGAATTCTGGATTTTATGAAGGCCATTGACCTTTACGGCAAATTATGAATAAAATTGCTTAAAAAATTTTAATGTTAAAAAGTTGTTTTAAAATCTAAACTTATTTAGATATCTACCTCAAATTTTTTACATTTGAACATTTTAAAATCTGATGATTGTTGACCCGAGCCCAGTCGTCTTGAGTCTTGAGTGAACTGTTGTGAATGCAACCAACTTGAGTTTCGTGCGCTCATATATGCAGTTGCGAGCACCGTAAAACTCCTACAAAATCAACAACAAATAGGCCTACTATTACTAAGCTTCTCTTTGTCCATTTTGCCGGGAATTGACTGCAAATCAAGGACATTCACCCTGTTGGTATAGTGGGAAATTACTTCCCCTGGACCATCCAGCCATAGTTTTGTGTGCACACGGCAAAGCAAATTGCTGGCTGACGGCAAATGGCGCGTGCTGGTGGCAGTCTGAACGTGTAAATACAAGTATCACCAGTTTTCGTGGCAGGAAAGAGGAAAAAGGCGTGACGACAGAATACAGCCGGCTTCTGCCAGCTTACTGGCCGGGCTCAGCGTGAACTTAGCCTAAATGTGTTGCAAGTGCTGTAAAACACTTACCAAAAGCGGGTGGTTGGCGGGTGCTCTGGTGGTAGAGGTTTGTTCCTTCTTTCCTATCAAACATCTGCCGTCCTTTTCTCCCACTCCCCTCCTTCAGCTCAAATTGTGTCGATAGTGCCGTAAAACATCTACCCAATCAATCAATCTCCTTCAGCTTCTATTTTGTGTTTGTTACTCTCTTGTAACACTTCTAATCTTCTGCACTTATATATGACCTTATTCAATTCATGTACATTCATGTAATACATGTATATTTTTACTTCAGGCAGCCACGTTCTGATTTCATGGTATTCTCTACATGTACATTCATGTAATACATGTATATTTTTACAATATGATTTTAATTTGATCTTCCTATTCTTACCTACCCCAAGACCAAGGGTGTGGCTGAAAGTGAAAGACAGACAGCAATGAAGTACAGTGGGCGTCGCATTCAACTAGGTTGCCGAGACCGGCTAGTTGTCGTCGTTGAATCCGACCTCTCGTTGAACGTGATTAAGGCTAAAGAAAAGAAAGGTAACCAGTAGATTCTAATTAAAGCTGTTGTTCCCCCTGCTGACAGAAATCTCAAACTGCATCAGACCGTCATTTCTGCATGTTAAAATATACCCTCTCACATCTAGGCCTAGATCTACAACTACAATAGAGTAAAGGCGGGAGCTATGATTTTCTGATAAGGGGAAGAAAAAATTGAAGAAAAAAAATGGTCTCGATCTAGACCTATACTCCTATACCTACCCATCCAGAGTCCATCCAGTTTCACACGGCCCGCATCACGTTCTCACCCATCCCTACCGTAGGCTAACCCTCGCCCATCCTCTTGGTTTTGGGGCCCATATTTATTAGCAAGCACAATAGATCTAGCAATACAATGTGTTAGGAATCGAAATGGAGAGAAAGGAGAAAAATTCTTCGCTTTTGGGGCCGCTAATTGCTTTTCTTTGGTTATCGCGACCTCGTTGAAAGTTGAAAGAGACTTCGGTCTGTGCAACCTCGTTGGAGCTTACGTACATTAATTCACAAAGAGATACAGTAGAAAAGGACTATAGCGGGACATTAATTACCGGAATCCCTGTCTTTCTGCCTATGTAAACTCTATTACATGTACTTATACTTTTGATATATATAGCGGGACAAGGAAAGTCCCGAACTCGGATACAGCGGGAGAGATCGAGCGAGCTCTAGCTTGGGGAGGGGGATGTAGGCGGGCTCCAAACAGACAGCCGGCGTTGTGATTGGCTAGTCCAGGGATGGGTGAGATCGGGCAGGCGGTAGGCCTAGAGAGAAATGGTGCAGAGAGAGAGATGGTGCGGAGAGACGCGTAGCGTGAACCACTCCAAACGTGATGTAGATCTAATAATAGCCCTAGGCTAGGCCAAAAAGAAAAAGAAGAGGAGAGCGTGTGGTGTGTGATTGCTGATTCATCGAATTGCGATCATTGATGCTCAAGCATACGCACGTATACACTTCACCAGTTCTACAGTAAGCTTACCGGTAGGATAGACAGCTCAAGCAACAAACCAAGGAAAAAATGGTTTCCAACAAAGACAAAAGGAAATGTTTTTCACTCGAATGAAAGGCCGAGATAATCAACATGTTGTTGTTGTTTTCAAATCCCTTTAGCTGCGAGCATTTCGCTCTTGGCAGCGCAATGCCTCCCCCAAGTAACCACATGTCCTTGTCATCTGGTCAACGCCAGAGTAGAGATAATCAACATAGTTGACAAGAAAAGGAAGACTAATCTAAAGCGCAAATTTTATTGATATATATGGAAGGGATGTAATCATGTCTATTTAAAAAAATTTTCCCTTTGCATTCCTATAGCGAGAACTTGCCTACAGCGGGGTTTTTCTTCTGGAACCAAAAGTCCCGCAATAGTCGTGTTCTAGTCTAGTTCTACTCTATAGAAGTAAAAATCGGGGATTAATTAAGGATTGTCTCGTTGGAACTGATTGTTACTCTCTTGTAACACCTCTAATCTTCGGCACTTGTATAACCATATTGTGTAGCAAGTGCCGTAAAACTCTTACTGAAATAATTAAAAAAACACAATACCTAACGAATCATATATTCATCATACCCCCTTAAAACTAAAAAAGTATAACCAGCTATCTACTATCTCATGTGACACTCAGTAACACAAAGGTAGCGGTAAGAAGAAACTTCATATTTTTATTGTCATATATTCAGCAATTCATCACAAAATGTACAAAGATCACATATTTCTATAAACATGAATAGGGCGCAGCAGCAGTATCTACTCGCTCTCGCACACATGCACAACACGACACACTACGCACACATGCACAACATGACACACTACACTGCAGTCGGCTTATGGCTTCCCTCGTACATTGTGCCACTGCTTCATAATGGACTCGCGCTTGCCCCAGACCAGCTTCTGTCCATACTTGGCATACAGTCTGAAAGTAAGGAAGAATTACAGTTGAATTTGGAGAAAAGTGGTAGTCAAGGACAGATGGATGCCTTACTTAAAGTAAGTAATATAATGTAATGGGGGGGGGGGGAAATTGTGGGAAGTGGTAGTTTGTACAGGTGCCATTAGTGCATGTTGCGACCCCCAAAAAGGTGGCGATGAATGAGTCACTACCTTGCCGCCACACGAAGACTTGAATTCCAGTGTGTGGAAAATGTTTTATTGGGTACAGTCAAACTAATAACTAAGACCCTGTTGTACCACCTACCTTAGAATGAGCATGAATTTGGCAGTACTGTATACAGTGGAACTCGGATTCAACGAGGTCGTCGAGCCTGACCTAAAATCTCATTGAATCCGAGTGTTCGTTATAGCAAATATGAGGTTTTGTGTAGATAATTACAGGCACTGAGCAAGTAATGTACAAGAGAAGTCACAAGTAGTGCCTGAAATGCCTGCGTATTTTGAGCTGTGTAAAAAAAAAAGACCGATTCGTTCAAATGCACACGCCTGTGTCATCACGATTGTTTACCAAAAAGTTGTGTTGCTGTTTGTTTGTTTGTTTTAGTAGAGGTTTTACGGCGCTCGCAACTGCATAAGGTCATATGAGCGCCAGAAGATTAGAGGTGTTACAAGAGAGTAACAAACACAAAAAAGAAGAAGGGGAGATAAGGACGATAGATGTTTGATAGGAAAGAAGAAGAACACCACACCAGAGCACCCGCCAACCATCCGCTGTATTGCTGTGTAGTGCCTAGCATACGGCAACTTTTGATTCCATAGACCAGCGCACAATTCATTACCTAGGTCAATGTCAAGACTAGCTTATTATTGTAATAATGATGAGTTGCCGAGGGGAAAAAAAGACTGTGACGCATTTGCATATATGTGACGTTCAACGCCCGGACCGCTAGTGCCCCCCCCCCCCCTCCCCCGACACGCAAACACAGCCACATGTGTGCAGGCCGCCCATCCGACCCCGACACACGCCAGAGTAGACATGTGCGCGTGCCAACAACACATGTTTTGGTATTTTAAAACGCCGCTGATTGGTTGCATGCAATCGGCTAAGTGAATAATGGTTAACGATGCAGGTGCAATGGATGGTTTCTGGGAATAGATAAAGTTCGTTCTGGGAGAAAAATTACCGAAGCCACGTCTGCGGGGGCTGTTCGCCCTGGAAGCGACCTTGTTGAATCCGAGCTCGCTGATTTAAATGCTCGTTGCATCCGGGTTACTTTTACTGATTTTAAAGAAGAAAAAAAAACGGGGAATCTGTCTCATCTCGTTGAATCCGAGTTCTCGTTGAATCCGAGTTCTCGTTGAATCCGAGTTCCACAGTAGTATAGCGGGGCTGACAATGTGCATGTGTACAGATGCATCACGATCATCCAAATCCCTGCCTGGTTACTGAAAAGGCTAGTCTGGACATGCATTAAATCTACCATATGAATTGCATGCTGGTTTGTGGATACAGACTTTGCTATATATATCTGCCAAGCCCTACATTGTGACGCAACTTGCTCGCATTGCTATAACGAACTCTCAGATTCAACTAAATTTAAGGTCAGGCCCCTGACTTCATTTACCCGAGTTTCACCATACTACTATGTTTATAATATAGGCCTTCCTTCGTACATTGGCAAAACCTGGCAGTAAGCAGGGATGGAGGTATAATGAATGGCAGGGAGGCATATCAAGGTTTGACCAATATCTCGATAATATTATTATATGGTAATAAACCTCTCAGCTTGGGGTGGCCCTGACAGGCAGAGTCAACGCCCACCTCCTAAATGTTCTAACATGCATAACATTATAATCGCGGGGCATACCAAAAGTTTTTCACCTGATCATGAAGGAATAATAATTATAGAAAGCTGAAATTTGTGGTGAAAGTCAACAATGATCTTCCTAGAATGCAGGTAAATTTTGGGGAATTTCCGATTACCGTACTGATGTTAAAACCAGAGCACTGTAAGCCAATGAGGGTATGTTGTTCTCCAGTTTCAACATAATAAAAATGGAGAAAATTGAGCACAGGGCAGTAATGAAGCTTTTGTTCCTGCATTTTATGGAGATGCATGTCGTATGGAACTGATAGCCCACCCTATGCTGTGATAAAATTTTGGTGTAAAACAATTCACATGCAGATTCATGGACATTGAAAATGACCATCGTGATGGTCATCCAGTGACAGAAACAACAGAAGAGAATGTGTTGAAAATAAAGAAACTTGTGATATCTGATAGGCGGGTGACAGTTGAATGTTTGAAGTTTGAGCAAAGTAAACTAGGCTTAGCATTGGATCAGTTTAACGAATCTTAAATGAATATTTGAATATGACCAAGGTTTATGCAAGATGGGTCCCGCATTCATTGTCTCCTCAAAACGCGTGGACTGTTGTCAAAAATTGCTTGGTCTGTATAAAAAGGATGAAACTAAATTTTTTTAAAGACTTCTAACCATGGATGAGACATGGGTCTAACACTATGATCCTGAGTCAAAATCTGCATCAATGCAGTGGAAATCGCCCTCGTCTCCAACACCAAAGAAGGCAAAGGTGCAGACATCACAAGTGGAAAAGTGATGCTATAAGTCTTTTGGAACCAAGAAAGAGTGATTACGACAGACTATCTTGAAAATGGACATACGATCACTGATTCTGAAGACCACAATTCTAACAAACTAAAAACAATACGAGAGGCTATAAAAGAAAAACGCAGAGAAAGGATCTGAAAAGGTATTTTGCTGCTTCACAACGACGTGCCAGCACACACTTCATTAAGAAAAGCTGCAGAGAGACAGCGCAAGAAAGTGGCTATGAAATTTTGCAACATCCACCCTATTCTCCAGATTATTACCTTTCAGTCTGAATCTCAGTCCCTTTTCCTTTACATGTACATGTGCAATGTATTTTTCTGACTCATTGGATTTCTTGACATAGTGCTACCGACCCTCCTTACACAGTAAAAAAACCCAAAAGTTTTAATAATACTTTTAATTTTACAGGAAAACAGTTGGCCCACTTGTGCCGGAGACCAGCGATATTTAAACTATTGGACGATGTTACGCTGTTTAAGATTATACAATATTGTAAAAGTTAAACAGGAGACAGCATCTCTGTACTTGGTGCCTGTAAAAACAAGACAGACAACTTACATGCCAAAGATCATTCCCCCAAGATGTCCGGCGTGGTCCATGAAACGCCAGCCCAGAGCCAGTCCCAGGAGGTCGAAGGCGATGATAGCCTTCATGCCCTGTGGAGAAACAAGGTAGGGAAGTACATGTAGCAAGTTGTGAGGCACTGTGGTGAGAAACATAGGTAGAGATGAGCAGCAAATTGTGTTGAGAAACATTGGTTGAGTAGGGCAGCAAATTGTGTTGAGAAACATTGGTTGAGTAGGGCAGCAAATTGTGTTGAGAAACATTGGTTGAGTAGGGCAGCAAATTGTGTTGAGAAACATTGGTTGAGTAGGGCAGCAAATGTGTTGAGAAACATTGGTTGAGTAGGGCAGCAAATTGTGTTGAGAAACATTGGTTGAGTAGGGCAGCAAATTGTGTGGAGAAACATTGGTTGAGTAGGGCAGCAAATTGTGTTGAGCTGCACTGGTGGAGAAGTGGTAAATTGTGTTGAGCTGCACTGGTGGAGAAGTGGTAAATTGTGTTGAGCTGCACTGGTGGAGAAGTGTGGTAAATTGTGTTGAGCTGCACTGGTGGAGAAGTGGTAAATTGTGAGTCAGTGAGATGAGAAACATTACACTGGTAGAGTTTGGATTAGTTTAGTTTAAGTTTAAAGGCACTTGTGACACAAACACAGAAGCTCCGACTTAAAGAAAGTAGAAGGCTCCGACTTAAAGAAAGTAGAAGAATTTCTAATTAAATTAAAATCAACAAAATAGCTGGACTCAACGAACACACAAATGAGCAAGCTCGGATTTAACAGTCACTTGCAGGGCGAACAGCTCCCCCCCCCCCCCCCTGAGCATTTTTATTCCGCAGAGAAGCTTACCTATTCTATTCCTTGAGACCATCAATCATCTGTGAATCATTGCACTCTTAGCCTAGCCTATTGCGTACATCTTATGCGACCTATCAGAAGCCTTCTTTAACACCAATATAATGCGTGTTGCTAACATGCACATAAGACACAATGTTGTCTTAGCCTAGCATCTGCGTTTGTCACGGGCCAGTCACGGCCGCGACCCGTGAATCGTGCGCATGATTTTGGGCACTTTTTGGACCACGAATTGCGGCCGCGATTATTGGCACTTTTTTGTCCAAGAGTTCTGGCCGGGATTTCTGCATTTTTCAAAACAAAAACAAACCCCCCCCCCCCCCCCCCCCCACCACTGGGGAATTTCAAAATCGGAAAAAAGGGGTATAAAAAAAAAAAAGAAAAAAAAAAAGAAACCGAACCTCTATACTTTTAGAAAGAAAGTTAAGTTTCACTTCGTCACTTTCTCACTTGTTGACACCACGTTGATTTGTTATTTTCATGTGAAGAATATGCGTACATTACATACTATTCATGTTGCTGTTTCTCTTTTATTTTTCCCTCTTTGTTGTGTGTTAATTTTCTGGCGTGCTAATTTTTTTAAAATTGTTATTATTCTGATGTGTTTTCTAATTTTTGTGTTTATATAATGTCATTTAATTTGATGTTGTTCAAACCTTTTTTATATAAATTAATGTGTTATGTTAGAGCGTTTCTCCACCAACACCAAATACTGACACTGGTAGGCCCCTTGTCAGTGGTCCCATAATTTATATACGATATACTAATATAATATCCTGTACTTTTTCTTGAATTACACACGTTTAGGGTCAATACGGCCAATCTTCGGATAAGTGGACAAACGTCCATATTAGTTCATTTTGTGGTTTTTTATGTGCTGTTCTAATTTTGATTTCATTCTGTTGTGAAACCTTTAATCTTCACGCTTTTACACTCTGTGTGGCTACAAATAATATTCTGGATGCTTAAAACAAGAACAAGAAATTCTAGCGCTTTAGATTAAGTTATCTCTATCAACATATTAATTGCTATATATGTCGTCACTCGTCACACAGAGTTGAAAGCTTGAAAATTATTGGCAACTTTTGCCATGTTTTAGGCAACTTTTGGACAAAAAAATAGCAGCAAACTCAGATGCTAGCTTAGCGAGTACACGGGTCAAGAGAGGTCGAATGGACAGCCAGCACACTTGTGGGTGTTACTGAGGGGGGCGGGGGGGTAGGACGGCATAGGCACAAGGACTCTGGGCGTGGAATGTCAGTAGAGATGCAAACAAATCACAATCTTATCTCCCCACCCCCAGCTAAAAAACAATTATAGGTCAGCTTAGACATGGAGCACTGTAATGAGTTGTGTGCCGGTCTAGGGAACCATATGTTGCCATACTAGACCCTACACTGCAGCCCAATTTCTTGCTTACATTGCTACAACGAACACTCGGATTCAACAAAATGGAAGGTCAGGACCGGTGATTTTGTTATATATCAGTTTCACTGTACATAAAGTTTCAATATATGAAGATAAAATAAAAGGTGACAATGCTACATGTCCCATAAGCTTAATACAACTCGACCACAGGCAAGAATTTATAACAGATCTTTCAAAAGTTATAAATATATCATGAGAGGCAACATGGTGAAATCAGGCGCTCATCAAAGTATTGAAATTGAAGAAACTAGTATTTTTCCTCCCATTTGGCCATTTTAATGAAATTTTTATATTTTGGCTCAACACCATTTATGTCTATTTAAAAACACACTGCTGTGTGCATTTCACTTTTCTTTTTTTTATTTTACCCATTGATTAGAGGCACACAAAAAATGTAAATTAACAGTTTCCAAGGACTCTCAAGCTTTGAAAGGAAATTGTTAATTCCTTCCAGCCTGACTCAGCCCAGTGACAGAAGTATGCAATGTTTGACTCATGATAAGAGATATGTGCACAACCTTTACCTATTCAATATATGGAAACTTTATTTATCAAATGAATGTTTTGTGCGATGTGATGGGGGCCAATGGCCTTAAACACGGAATAAACTTACTTACTTACTTACTTACAAGCTTTGGAAGTCACAAACTTTGGTTGCTATTTTCTCACTTAATTTACCACCTCCTTCAACCCTAAATATCTGAACTCCTATTCAAGAGAGATAGGTAATTTTTTTCATTGAAAGCAACACTTAACGAACAAGCTTTAATTTGATACCAATATTTCCACATGTCCAAAAATCAAAGAATGAAGTAGCTAGCCGTACTAGCCTGAGAGTCTAGCCGCACTTAAGTACGACTAGACTGCCAGTCTAGTTGTACTTAGATCTAGGTTTGGCCCTATCGACTCAAACCTGTTAAGTACACAGGTCTCATTAGATACAGATCTAGTAATTATTCAGGTCCATATACATGCAAGTCAGTAAGGCACCTTTTGGTTTTGTCTGAAATAGAATCTACAAATACTTTAGGCATTGCAAACTAAAAATTTCATTTACAATTCAGTCATCAATATTAAGTACGGCTAGCCTGACAGTCTAGCCGTCCTTAAGTACTGCTAGCCTGGCAGTCTACCCGTACTTAAGTACGGCTAGTCAAGAAGTCTAGCCGTACAGCTAGACTGCCAGTCTAGCCATACTTATCTTGTTAGGCCCTATTTAACTATTAACATTAGAAAACAGGAGGTTTAAAAAAAATACATGCACTGTCATTAAGGCACCTGGTTTCGTCTCAAATACAAATATTTTAGGTACTGAAAACTAAAAAGTATATTTACACTTCAGTAGGCCTATTTTTTTTGTGGTCAGTCTAGCCATCATATTAAAAATAAGTACGGCTAGCCCAGCTGTCTAGCTGTCATTAAGTACTGCTAGCCTCTTCCATTGACGAATGCCTGTTTCACAGTGTCGTGACACATGTATTAGTGTAGACCTAGACATATAATAATATTATGTGAGTAGATTGAACAAAAACAATCAATATCAGAATTGATGAAAAATCTTTTTATAATTTGAGAACAGTTTTCATTAACTGATTCTGTCTACGCGGCCGCTGACAGCCACTCTTGGTTTTCCCGCTGTCGCTATTCAACCGCTGTGAGCGGCTCAACAAAACCCAAAACAAGTGTGTGCACTTTTTGAAATAGTTCCTACCTTTTAAGTTGTCAAAAGGAAGTAAAACTTGTAAACAAGCCTGACCGTAATCTCGGAGCGCCAAAATTGATAGAAACTGCGCCAACTTCTTTCAAAAGTTATTGTTTTGTTGTCACTATGTAGTTACTGCGTAAGGATAAACAATATGGAGCCTGGTATATCAAAAAGGCCTTTCAGGGGAAAATGTTCAACTAAATTTGTTAAATTCTTGCACAAATGTGTGCTTGGGTGATATCTCTACAATTTTGAGTTGATTCCTATTGATTATATTATTATAAGGACTTTAAGAGCTGAGAAAATGAGGTAAGTTGAGATTTTTGAAGATGTGTTGTGCATTTTATTTTTCTCATTCATTTTTGTCTGAGGGAAAACACAATACAATCAGAATATAGGTCATTGTAAAATTGGTATAAATCAGATTCCTCAATTGATATCCATCAGTATGATATATGACAATACATATTAGGGTAACTTAGAGCCTCACAGTAATGCATTAAATAGATGCACCCCAGGTTGAAAATTGAACAGGGAAAAATACAGTATAATCCACTTATATCAACAGCCGATGTATGGACATTTTGACATATCGACATGTTTTCCAATTACGAAATTTTTCCTTCCATATCTTCACTAAACAATTCCTCTTATATAGACTTTTTTTCAGCCCATTCTGCTTTATCGATATGCTTCCTGGGTACCTGTGTAGCCCACGAACATAAATGGGGGGGAAAAAGCCACACTAACTGTCAATGCATTAGTTCTTTATTAAGTCCGCATACCCGCCAAGTAGTCTTTTCACCACAACAGGCTATAGTGTGTCATGTAGGGCCTACACAGTGTAGTCTCCAACACAATACAGTGTCTCACAGACGTGAGAGTCTTGCGCGCTGAGCATCATCTCCCTACCCCCATTCCCGATCGCTCACTCCCCTTCCCCATCCCATTATTCTCAGTCTGTCGCTGGCAAGCCTCGCCTTTCATTTTCCCCAGTAAGCGGGCATAAACAGGCCTTACAAGGATGCTACAACAAAGTCTGTGCTGGTGAGTAGTGTGTGCCTCACGCTGCTTGGTCTTTGGTACCGTAACCCCCCCCCCATCCCCTCTTGTTACTTTCACTGTGTAGTTGTGTAACAATCAAGGGAAGCACACAGCTTAAAAAAGTAGTGTCGTCTTGTTACCGCTGACCCCCTCCTTGTTTTTTCCTCTTTGGCCTTACATTTCATTTAGCTCTGTCCAGAACCTGAAAAAATGATGGATAGAATCAGTTAAGCTACTAAGTACTCACCGAGTCAGCCGAAAAAGAATGTGGGAAGAGCTCGTTGACAAAAGCAATGCTCAGTTGAGCGTTGGGGTAAGTCACACAAACGATGCCCAACAGCGCCATGATAGCCCCCGACTGAGGACATGAATGACAGTTTTAGTTTTAGTAAGAGTTTGGAGTCTTTTAAGGTAAGTGTTTTACGGCGCTCGCAATTGCATAAGGTCATATGAGCGCGAGAATAAACATTTTCAGTTTGGTATGAGTTTTGAATTTTGCCCGGGTGGTGGCTAAAGCCTACTCATCGGTTTTAGTACCACCAAGGGATCTTTAACGTGCGCAACTTGCACACTGGACCTCCTACATTTTCCCCCCTTATTCGAGAAGGCTAGGTGTTGGATCTTACCTAGCATAAGATCAGGGGTGTAGCAGTAGAAAGGCTGCAGAAAGAGTCAGGAGGCCAGAGGAGGGGGACATGGATAGAGAGCAGGAAAGGAGGTGAAAGGAGAAAATTTTCCATCATGTTTCAAACCGCGGACATATTGAATGAGAGGCGAACACCGTAACCTCTAGACCCAGACCATGACAGCCTCAGTCAAGAGTTTTACAGCACCCGCGCTATGAGTATATTTTTGTAGCTGCTGCGCGTTTCCATCCACAGAGCTACGACAATAGTCGTATCAAAATACCAGTCCACAAAATTGAGTCTAAACCACTTATTCGGATTTCTATGGAAAATAAAAGGTCGCTTGTAACTGGTAACAGCTTTTACTAGTTTGTTTGATTCAGTTTTTCGCCAACTACGAGTTAGTTTTGTTGTTTTGCCACTGCAAATCATGGCAAGAAAGCGAGCACTGAAATCTTCATGGACAACAAAGAAAAAAAACAGCCACAAAAAATAACACTGGCCACAGCTATTTTGTGTTTGCTAAAACACATGAACCATGTTTTTAGTTTTGTTTTAGGCATAAGCGGCAAAGAAAGTGAAAGTAGACGTAAATCTATAAAAACACGGTGATCGGATTGATTTTAGTGCTTTCAAAACTTGGAGGAAAAGTTAGATCTAGACAATAGATTTGATTTACTGCAAGTTGCTATGGATAAATCGAGTGCTGATGAGTCATAGTCGGACGAAGAATATATTGTTTTCTCTGCTCTTTCCTTCCTCTTTCTCTCTAAAATTATTAAAAGAACATTTTAAGTAAAATCTAAGAGAAATTTCACTTTTGATACCTTAAATAGTTTGGGCACAATGCGTGTCTAAGGTCAGTGTGTCACGTTCAGACCGATAATTCCCCCCCCGGCTCGCAGCAAGTCAGGTGGACACAAGTGCACTGCCCACGGCAACGTAGGGTGAATTGGGTTAAAAACAAATGGACAAATGGATCATATAATGCCAAAGATGAGATATTTTAGGGGGTTTTTTTTTTGGGGGGGGGGGGGGTTGTATGAGTCTTACGGCATTTGCAACACAAATTAATCATTTTTATAGCTAAAGATTTGATGTTTTAGTTTGGGGTTTTTTATTAAGTTTTAGTATGAGATTAACGGCACTTGCAAAAAAACTTACACAACACCCACAGAAAAACTATCATCAGAAATCTATCAACACAGCAAAAAACTTTCTTCACGACCCATAGAAAAACTATTGACAGAAAACCTACAACACCCACAGAAAAACTGTTGCCAGATTTCTATCAACAAAGTAAAAAACTTTACAGCTCTCACGCAAAGACTATTGAAAAAAAAACCCTGCAATACCCAAAGAAAAATTATCATCAGAAATATATCAACACAACAGAAAAAACTCATCAGAAATCTATTATCAACACAACAGAAAAAACTCATCAGAAATATATCAACACAACAGAAAAAACTCATCAGAAATCTATTATCAACACAACAGAAAAAACTCATCAGAAATCTATTATCAACACAACAGAAAAAACTCATCAGAAATCTATCGACACAACAAAAAAAACTCATCAGAAATCTATCAACACAACAGAAAAAACTCATCAGAAATCTATCAACACAACAGAAAACACTCATCAGAAATCCATTATCAACACAACAGAAAAAACTCATCAGAAATCTATTATCAACACAACAGAAAAACCATCATCAGAAATCTATCGACACAACAAAAAAACTTACGGCTCCCACAGAGACAGATGGTGGCCTCCGCAGCAGCTTGTGCATGGTTATACTGCCTAGGGAGGCCAGTGTACCTGGGGACAATATCATTAAAATCAACGAGTCATAATTCCATCCTGTTTGTTTGCTTGTTCGCTTAATTTTGTCTGTTTCAGTGTGTTTGATAGCACTTGTAACTTCATTAAAATCAACGAGTCGTAATTCCATCCTGTTCGTTTGCTTGTTTGTGTAATTTTGTTTGAGTATGTGTTTTATGGCGCTTGTAACACCTTTACGTCATATAAGTGCCTGAGATCAGAGGTGTTACACCAGAGCAATGAACACAAAAAAGCATGATACCTGATGGGGAAAAAAGAAGAAGCTAACTACACCAGGGCACGCCCAACTACCCACTTTGTTTAAGTGAAGACAAGCATGTCAACACAATACATGCAACGGTTATTCAGAGCAAGGAAAAGGAAAGACAGACAGACAGAGACAAAAAGGGAAACTAGCAGTATACCCTTCCAACCATTCACAATCCGTCACATGTCATATGACACAGGAACAGGCTAGAAAATATCTACAGTGGATCCTGCTCCAGTGACAAACGCATCTTAGACTTGCATAAAGAGGATCCAGGTTGCATAAAGAGGATCCAGGTTTTCTTGAACAAGTGTCTAAGGAAGCTACTGAGGATCAGATGGACAGACAAGGTCACCAACAAGGAAGTGTTAAGGAAAACATGACAGGCCCAGTCAGAGCTGAGGTGGGAAGAAGGCCTTGGCAATGGATTGGACATACTCTCAGCTGCATAACAAATAAAGTGTTGGGCTGGAATCAAGGAATCAACAGGAAAAAAGATCAAGGGCAAGACCACAAGGAACCTGTAGAAGAGTCACAGAAATTGATGTAGGCCTACAGAAAAGTATGATGGAAATATATCAAGAGGCTTAGCCCAGGATAGGGAAAGGTGGACAATGTTTGTTTGTGGCCTATACCCTGACCCAGGGTGAGAAAAGCAATGATGATGATGATCCTGCTGCAATGGTCACTTTTCCAAGATAATCACCTGTTCAAACGGCCACCTCCTATTCCCCCCAACCCTCCCCCCACCATTATTTTGGTGGGGGGGGGGGGGGGTTCTACATTATAATGACACTGGACAAGAAGTCAACCACTTGTCAATAAATAAATGAATGCATTATGGTTGTTGTTTTTTTTAATCTAATAAGTTTGCTGGATTCCAGAGCAAACCTCACCAGAGAACCCGCCAACCACAAACCCCCTTGTAAGTAATAATTACAACAAAAACTGAAACTTACCCCCACTGAGGTAGACAGCAGAGAACTGCTCACAGCCATACAAATTGGCAGCGACAGAGGCAAAGGACCAGAGGACATACATGTTGACGAACAAGTGCAGGAAGCTGATGTGACTAAAGGTAGCCAGCACCATTGATGGGAGAGGGTGATCTGAGAAGAGAAAAAAAAACCTAAAGTAGTAACACTTTTAAAACGATAGAGCTTGATGTTGAGCAGGGGTATGTGCTACACTGTATAAAAATGCTATTTATCCATTTATTATTAACAGTAACCAGTGTTTCAATATTCACAGAATAAAGCGAAAGATCTCAATTGCTTTATGTATCTAACAGAACTCAACACCACGTCTCTGGGGAGGAAGATGAGGAAGGGCAGGGGTGGGGGGAAATGGGTATGAAAATTGTCTGCAACCCTTACTTATTAACCCTATCCGTACGCCCTGGGTCATTTTGTACCCCAAGGGTTGCATTCTTCACAATTTAGAATACTTCTAGAGCGAAGATCTCTATACTATGAAACTATCAGTATTTCTCAAAAATCATTTTTACAGCCTATTATGCAAAGCGTACGGATTGGATTAACGAGTAAATTTCCTCTTCGGAAAGCGATGGCACAGAGTTCCCCCCGCCATATAGATACGATAGTAAAACACAACGTACGCATAGGGTTAATTGAGGAGGAAAAGTAGCAAAACATATTTGTGAGCCTTATTAATTGGGGAGGGAGTAGAAGTAATGTAAAATATCTGTAAGCATTACTTATTGAGGAGAAGTAACGTGAAATGTCTGTAAGCCTAACTTATATATATATAGGATGAAAATTAACACGAAAGGATTTAAGCCTTACTTATTGAGGATGAGAAGTACCGCATCATCATTGGCTGTAGCCGTGCCACCCTCCACAGGCCCCACACTGTAAAGTTGGCAGCCACAATGCCCAGGACCAGCTTCTGACTGTTGGACAAACTCGTCCAAAAACCGTTCATCTGCAGAAGTAGAAAAGATAATAAAGCAGATCTTATATATCAACACGATCTCATCTACCATTGACCAAAATCCCCAACCAGATTTCTTCAGTGTTCTACAATATTTAAGAGAACAAATTTGTACAAATGCATGTGTTTTGAGTTAGAATATAGAGAAGCATATCAAAACTTTCACAGTACAGGGAAAAAGTGAGACTGACAGACAGAGACAAAAGAATTTTCAATGATCCAGACTAGAACGAAAAAAAGCAAGCAAAGAGAGAAAAGATGGCAAATACTTACATGTTGTCGGAACCCAAACGTCTTCATATTAGCTTTTCTGCCCTGTTGGCCGTCTCTCTGTTCACCCTTTTGCAGATTTTGAAACGTCTTGCGCATCTTCTCATAGTTCCAGATCATAGCACCGAGAAAACTGCATCCACAGACCTATGTACAAAAAGTGCAATGATTCATATAATATAATAAACTTTTGAAATAATATTATGCAAGGAAAGGGGGCAAAAGAGTGACCTCATCTATGACACAAAGTAAACAATAGAATCACAAAACAATAAACTATAAAATATCAGAAGACTTAATACCGGTATCAGAAGAGTGTACATTATCATTATATTATATCATAGTTGTTCCTCACTCACTTGGATTGCCAAATTAACCCTGACTCTGCTGACCCTGGAATACCCCCCGCCCGCCCATTTTTAGGAAATTTCACAAGGGTCACAACAAATAGACCAGACAACAAATACGTCGCACAAAATAACAAAATATCCACACAGAAACTAATCAGAGTTGCCTACCTCACATCTAGAGCTACTGAATAGTTTTTTTGCACACATGTTTAGGCCTAGTAGGGCCTGGCTCAGGCTAACTTGGATCCGTGACTCCCAGACCGGTGAAAGGGTTTATCGGGCTATGCATCAATCAAGTCCCGGACCGGTCAGAGGGTTTCTCAGGCTCTAAGCGTTAAGCCTAGCAAAATTTTTTGACAATTTAAAAATAAAGAGCAGTCACCTTTTGTATTGCATCACTATAGGCCTACGCATTAAAGTCATTTCTATGTAAAAGAATGAACAAAATAAAAAAAGAGAGAAAAAAAGGCATTACCCCAACTGAGAACACAAAAGGCTTGAAAAGGGATGGTGAGTCAGGATTTCTCCCAGGTGATCGAACTGTTTCAGTCTCTTGAATTCGTTGCTTTGTTCTAAACTTTCTTGAAAAGACATTATTAGGTGTGAAAGACTTGCGCAACTGAGTAGCACCATTCTGCCATCGAAAACATCTTGAAACAGGGATGGGAGGGGTACTGTGGGGTGCATAACTGTGGAAAATCTTTGAAATCCCTCTGAAAAACAACAGAAACAACGCAATAATAAATGTTGGATTAAAACAAAAAACAACTAACATTTTACTGAAAATAAGAACGATATCCTGTTTTCAGGGCGGAGTCATCCAAAAAAAATTAGAATATTTTATATAGATGGTATTGAAGAAGTGTGCTAGTCGACACCAATTACTGCTATCAAAGACAGGACCAAGTATAACTTCTAAGTTTGCTGCAAAATTAATTATCATTTCGATTTGTAAAGATATCTCGAAAAAGCTGAGAGTGACAAGGCGACCCATTTTGTCAAAGAGCTATCTATCATTCTATAATTACAGTGCCAATACCTAAACTTATCTCCCATTCTGAGTGGATCATAATTACACAAAGGAATTTCTTCAGAAGGAAGAAAACAGTGCTTTATGAAATACACAAAGAAATATAATGTGAGAAAATTTAATGGGAACAGGTGTCTACCATTACATTGTACATCATTTTAAAACATTTTCCTTCTGTATTATATTAAAATTTGAGTTTCACACTGATTTTCAAGTTTGTTGGCAACAGTGTCCTCCACATGATCTATGAATTAATGTAGTCTTTTTTCTTCTTCTCATTCATCTTTAAATGGACAACGTAGTCTCTAGTGCGAAGGTTGCTGTTCATTGTAGGTCCTCCAGGCCCCAACAGAGTTTTGGGTCTCTTTGCCTAGGGTTGGATCAATATTTCTTTCTAAGAGCCTCGAGGATTGGGCAGCCTTAGAGCAAATGGTTTCCTGTTTGAACGCCGGTGAGGAAGAAGAGGGGTCATCCTGGCGGTAGGGTGGATGTTCATCCTCTCCCACATTGCTTGCAGTTTTTGGCCTACAAAAGGCAAGTCCTTTTTTCCTGTTGCTGAAGAATAAGCAATTTAAGTCTTTCACTACTTCCTGCTTCAAAACCACACCTACTTTTATTTAATCAAATCTGAAATCTCGGGCTGAAGATTGATCATTTTTAGCAACACGTTGAGACAAGTAATTATTTACCCTTTATTTTCATATAATACATGTGGCTAATAATAATTAATATTGAAAATTGAACCCAAAAAATCTTTAATTTGTCTGAGAGCAGACAAAATCAGAAAGTAGGTCACAGATACGGCCCGGCCCAGGTGAGGGAACCCCCCCCCCCCCCGGTAGTGAAAGAGTTTTTAAAAAAATATAAATGTGAGGCATCATGGTGAAATCAGGGGCTCATCAAAATAATGAAATCGAAGGAACTGGCATTTTTGTGTCCATTTATTTTTATAGAATTTTACTTTCTTGCCGTACACCTTTTAAAGACACTTTAACTTTAAGCTTCATTTTAAAAAATATCACACTTCCGTATGGATTTTACTGAAAAATGTTGATTTAGGGCACAAAAATGTAAATTTGCAGTTTCCGAGGCCTCTCAAACTTTGGAACTTACCAAACTTTGCGGCCATTTTCTCGCTAATTTTATGATCTCTGAAGGACCCCCACCTCCTTCAATCGTAAATCATGGGAAATGTCTAGGATCTTAATGAGTGTTTTTTTCAACGAAAGCAAGACAAATGAGCAAACTTTAAAATGATAGATCTAGATCTACACCAATAACTCCAAATTCACATGTCCGAAAATTAATGAGCGCCTGATTCCATCGTGTCAAGACATATAGACCTAGATCTAATAATGCAGTAGATCTTGATCAAGACTTTGTCTAACACTTAGACTCTAGATCTACTTTAACACAAAGATCTACAATCTAATAAAGTTAGACGAAGTGACTCTTTCTCCGAACGCTCGGGAAAATAAACTTGACCTCTATTTCTACGAACAGTTTCTGTTCACGAGATTTTGGGGTTATTTGTGAGATTTAGGTGTCATCTTTCATTTTGCCATTCTGCGAGAACTGGGAAGAACGAAGCATATTTTGCATCAAATCCAATTTCTAGAGGTATATCTATTTTTAAACGTCTAAATATTCAGATTCAGATACTTCAATTGTGGTTGGGGCAATGTTCCCAGACTATACACTTCAACTAAAAATAATGAAGCTACAGCGAGCACCTAGCACACCTCTGTGATTGACCCAAATATAGAGGACGTAATTCCACCATCTATCTTTGTCATCCTCCGGGGTTACCCACCAAGACTCTTGGGTTTCCCTCGCCACATCATTGCCTTTCTCACCCTGAGTCAGGATATAGGCCACGAACAAACACTCTCCACCTTTCCCTATCCCGGGCTAGTTGCTTGATTTCACTCCACGTCTTCCCACTTTTTTGTACATCCATTTCCGTGACTCTTCTCCAGGTTCCACGAGGTCTTCCCCTTGATCTTTTACCCTGTGGGTTCCAATCTAACACTTTTCTTGTTATGCAGCTGCTTGACTTCCTGAGAGTGTGTCCAATCCATCACCAACGTCTTCTTCCCACCTCATCTCTGACCGGGCTTTGTCTGGTTCTTCTTAATACTTCCTCGTTGGTGATCCTGTCTGTCCATTTGATCCTCAGCAGCCTCCTCAGACACTTGTTCAAGAAAACCTGGATCCTCTTTATGCACATATGGGATGCGTTCCACGTCTCACATCCATACAACAAGACTGACTTCACATTTGAGTTGAAAATTCTAAGCTTTGTTCGTAATGAGATATCCCTGGTCCTCCAAATCCTGCTCAAAGAAATAAATGCAGCCTGTGCCTTTCCAATGCGGGACTTTATTTCAGCGCCTGTTCCTCCCTCTCTGTCAATAATACTCCCAAGATAGCAAATGATTCAACGTCTTCTAGTGCATTTCCTTGTACTGTGACCTGCTCCTTTCGCCGTGCATATATCCTTAGGACTTTCGACTTTCTGGGGTGGATCCTCAATCCAACAGACTCGGATAGGCTGTTTAAAATTCTCGTCTTTGCTTGCATCTGTTCCTGAGAGTGTGACAGAAGCGCCAGGTCATCTGCAAAGTCCAGATTGTCCAACTGTGTCCATGGTGTCCACTGTATACCGTTTCTGTGTCCTCTGGTGGTTTCCTTCATCAGCCAGTCAACTGCCAATATGAAGAGGAACGGTGATAATAAACATCCCTGTCTCACACCAGTCCTGATGTCGAAGTTGTCAGTGAGCTGGCCATCATGTACAACCCTGCAACTTGTCTCTTCGTACATGCTCTTAATGAGGTTCACCAACTTCTGTGGGATTCCGTGGTGTCTCAGTATCTTCCATAGTGTTGCTCAGTCTACACTGTCAAAAGCCTTCTCATAGTCAAGGAAGTTGATGATCAGCTGGGAGTTCCACTCCAGGGACTGTTCCACAATAATCCTCAGCGTGGCAATCTGGTCGGTGGTTGAGCGATTTTTCCGGAAACCAGCCTGCTCATCCCGTAGTCTTGGATCCGTTGCTGTCTTGATTCTCTCCAGAATGATTCGGTTGAAGACCTTACCTAGTATTGAGAGAAGAGTGATCCCTCTGTAGTTGCTGCAGTTGCTGAGATCCCCCTTTTTTGGAAGCTTCACGAGGTGTCCTTCTTTCCAATCCTTTGGGAACTTGCTCTCATTCCAGATCCTGGTAAACAGCGGGAGGAGGATGTCTGCCGTCACATTGGCATCTGCTTTTAAGGCTTCAGGTGGAATCTGGTCAGGACCGGCCGCTTTACCTTTGTTCAGCTTCTTTATGGCATCCAGAATCTCTTGTTTTGAAGGAGCATCACAGCAGATTGGTAACTCATTTCTTTCTGGCAGGATGTTTGGTGGGTTACTCGGTGGTGGTCTGTTCAGGAGACTGTTGAAATGCTCTACCCATCGTTTGGACTGAGCTTCCTTTCCAAAAATGGTTCTCCCCTCTTGGTCCTTTACTGGTACTTCAGGTTTCCCGTATTTTCCAGCAAGTGTCCTTGTGGTCTGGTAAAGAATTCGCATGTGCCCTCCTATCGCTGCTTACTCTGCCTTCTCTGCTAGCCTGTTCATGAATTCCTCCTTGCCTTTTCTTAGAGATTTCTTGACATCTTTAGCTGTTGTCCTGTACTTCTCCAATGCATCCGCTCTTGATCCTCTTGTTCTACTTGCATTCACTTCTGCCTTCAGCTGTCTTCTTATCCTAATTAAATCCAAAGAGTGTTGGCTAATCCATTCCTTGTGCTCCAATTTCTTCATCCCGAGTACTTCTTGACATGTTGATGTAAAGACTTCTTTAATCTTGGTCCAGTGTGTATCCACCTCCATGTCTTCCTCACCAACATCCGCCAAGGGTTGAAATCTGTTCTTTAACTGCAGTTGAAACTCCTGTTTCTTGTGTCCATCTAGAAGACTTACTTGGAACTTCATTCTTTTGATTCCTGTTCTGGTTCCATGCTTTTTGAGACGAAGCTTGAGTTTTGCTAACAGCAGATGATGATCCGATCCAACATCTGCCCCTCTCTGTACTTTGACATCTTCCAGTGAACGCCTGAACCTACGAGAGATACAAAAATGATCAATCTGGTTCTCCGTCACTCCATCCGGTGATACCCAAGTAGCCTTGTGGATCCTCTTATGGGGAAAAACAGAGCCTCCGATGACAAGACTGTTGAAAGCACAGAGATTTGCAAATCGTTCACCATTCTCATTCATTTGTCCCAGGCCATGTTGTCCCATGATTCCTTTGTAACCTACGTTGTCCTGACCAATCTTGGCATTAGCATCTCCCATTATGATGTTGACATCATTCCTTGGTAGTTTGTCGATGACCCCCTGGAGCCGGCTGTAAAAAACATCCTTGTCCTCATCCGAAGCATCGTTTGTTGGGGCGTAGATCTGTATTATGTTCATATTGATGCTCTTGCTCCTAGTAGTGAATGAAGCCATGATGATCCTTTCCCCGTGTGGTTCCCATCCTCTAAGCGACTTCTGCGCATACGTACTCAAAATAATTCCAACTCCCTCGCCACAACTTGCTAGTAACTGTTGAAAATCTCGCTGTGTTTGTTTTGGGTTTTTTGGGTATAATTTGCGTTATCTTTTATAAACAGTCTCAGCAATTCTCGTACC